TATGACCCCCCCCCAGCCCCTTTTTCAACCCCTCCCAGTCCCATCCAGAACTCCCGGTCCGACACCACCGCGGCCATGGATCGGAGCCCCGCCCCTCAAGCCCCACTTTGGGACCCCCCAGCCCCATTTCAGCCCCAAGCTCCATCTCGAGCTCCTCTCACCTCACTTCGAGTCTTCCCGGGCCCGCTCCGAGACCACACCGACCATAGATCGGAGTCCCCGCAAGCCTCAATCTGTGACCCCCCAACCCCATTTTCGAGCCCCAAACTCTACCTCCAGCCCCTCCCGCCCCACTTGGAACCCTTCCCGCGCCATTTCGGGTCCCTTCAGCCCCATCCGGACCTCCCTGTCCTGGTCCAAAACCACCGCGGCCATGGATCGGAGCCTCTCATTCCCTGTCCGGAGCCCACCCAAGCCCCAGTTTGTGACCCCCCAGCCCCATTTCCAAGGCCAAGCTCTCCCTCCAGCCCCTCGGGCCCCATTTCGAGCGCCCCCGGCTCCCCACGCACCTCCCTCAGTGCGGCACCGACCCCGCTCCGCGCCTGCGCCCTCCGTGCGCTCTCATTGGCTGAGCCCCGCGCATCTGAGCATTTCTATTGGCTGAGCTCCGCGCCGCTGCGCTCCGCTTTTCGCCTCCCCCCCGGCCCCCACCCGCCCGATGCAGAGGTTCCGGCGGCGCCCGCCATAACCTTTCATTGTCGCCGCCGACGCCGCCATTCGCGCCGCGGGGCTGCCCCGCGGGGGGCGGGGGTGAGTGTGGCTCCTTCGGGGTGCTCCCGGTTCCTCCGGGCAGCGACGGTGGGGGTGGGACGGGACAGCGAGGTGGGGATGGCGTGTGCGACGCCCTGTGGTGTCCGGGTCCTCCCCCTCACACTGGGGAGAGCCGAGAGGGGAATTCCCTCAAGGAGGTTCCTTAATCCCGGTGTTCCCATGGAGATCCGTGAGGGGGAATTCCCTCATGGAGGTTCCCTAATCCCGGTGTTCCCATGGAGATCTCTGAGGGGGGAATTCCCTCAAGGAGGTTCCTTAATCCCGGTGTTCCCTTAGCGCTCCCTGAGGGAGGAATTCCCTCATGGATTTCCCATAATTCTGATATTCCCTTGGGGATGTGTGAGGGACGAATTCCCTCATGATGTCCCGTAATTCCCATATTCCCTTGGAGCTCTGTGAGGGGGAAAATGCTTTCATCCCGCTGCCATATCCCATATTCCGTTGGAGCTCTGTGAGGGAGGAATTTCCTCATGGATTTCCCTTCATTCCAATATTCTCTTGCAGCTCTGTGAAGGAAAATTCCCTCATGGATTTCCTTTAATCCCGGTGTTCCCTTGGAGATGTCTGAGGGAGGAATTCCCTCATGGAACTCCTTTAATCCCACTGCCATATCCCAGTGTTCCCATGGAGCTCTGTGAGGGGGGAATTCCTTCATGGATTTCCCTTAATTCCCATGTTCCCTTGGAGATCTCTGAGGGAAGAATTCCTTCATGGATGTTCCTTAATTTTGATATTCCCTTGGCACTCTGTGAGGGAGGAATTCCCTCATGGAACTCCTTTAATCCCACTGCCATATCCCTTGGAGATACCTGGGGGAGGAATTTCCTCATTGATATCCCATAATTCCCATATTCCCTTGAAACTCTGTGTGGGAGGAATTCCCTCATGGATTTCCTTTAATCCCGATGTTCCCTTGGAGCTCTGGGAGGTGAGAATTCCATCATGGAAATCATTTAATCCCGCTGTGATATCCCGGTGTTCCCTTCGAGATCTCTGAGGGAGGAATTCCCTCATGGAGGTTCCTTAATTCCAATATTATTTTGGAGATTTCTGAGGGAGGAATTCCCTCATGGAGGTTCCTTAATTCCAATATTCTCTTGGAGATCTCTGAGGGAAAATTCCCTCATGGATGTTCCTTAATCCTGGTGTTTCCTTGGAGCTCTGGGAGGGAGGACTTTTCCCATGGATGTTCCTTATTTCCCATATTCCCTCGGAGCTCTGTGAGGGAAAATTCCCTCATGGATTTCCCTTCATTCCAATATTCTCTTGGAGATCTCTGAGGGAAAATTCCCTCATGGACGTTCCTTAACCCCGACATTTGGAGCTCTGTGAGGGAGGAATTCCCTCCTAGAGATCCCTAAATCCCCTTTTCCCTCAGTGTTTCCCAAATCCCATCCCTGCAGCCTCTTTCCTTTATTCCCACTGTGCTCAGCCTTCCCCTTCCCTCTTTTTTTTTTTTGGTTTTTTGGGGTTTTTTTTTCCCATTTTTCCCCTATTTTTATCCTTTGATTGCTGCAAATCCATGGAAAAACTCTGTGGGAAGTGGGAGGTGCCAGACCTGGGAACAAAGGGATGCTCCCACAGCAATCAGCATTTTCCCAAATATTTCAGGAATTTCTTTCCCTCCACCCCTTCAGTTCATCAATTCCTTGGAAATATCCCACTAAAATTTTCTTTTCCTGCTTTTTTTAGGACAGAACCAGCTCTGACAAGAGGAATAAACATCCAAAAAACCCCCATCCATTTCCCAGCTATCCCAAAAACCATGGAAAATCCAAATTATCCCAACACTCTTTATTCCCCTCAACTTCCCCATTCTTTTCCACACTTTTAAAGCCTCAAATCCCATTTTTGGCAGGGTTTTTTTTTGGATTATTTTTCCAAATTCCTTGGCTCAGCCAGGAATTTTTTTCCAGCCTGCATGGACAGAGCAACCTTTGCCTGTTCCACCGCTTTTTTCCGGGATTTTGGGAATTCTTCTCCGCGTGCTCTCCCCGGGGGCCACGTGGATTTTATTGACAAAGCCGATTCCTTCACTTATTCCGATTTTTTCCGGGATTATCTCATTCCCAACCATCCCTGCATTTTCTCGGCCAAGTTCACCGAGGATTGGGGCAGCAGGAAAAATTGGGTGACGTGGGATGGGAAACCCAACTTTGAGCATCTCCTGCAGAAGTTTGGTAAGTCCCGGGATTTCCTCCAAATCCTAAAGGATTCAGTAATTTGGGACTGAATTTTAGGGATAAAAGCACTAAAAAAATCAAAATTTCAAGATTTTCCTAAACTAATACATGGACTTTTTCCATTTATTAATTCCCAAATTTTATTTTTTGTCTATATTTAAATAAATTTAAAATCCTGGAGAATTTAATTATTCCAAATCCTAAAGGATTCAGCTTTTTAGGATTGAATTTTAGAGATAAAAGCACTTAAAAAAACCCTGAATTCCAAGTTTTTATCCTAAATTAATCCATGGATTTTTTTTTCCATGGGAAACCCAACTTTGAGCATCTCCTGCAGAAGTTTGGTAAGTCCCGGGATTTCCTCCAAATCCTAAAGGATTCAGTAATTTGGGACTGAATTTTAGGGATAAAAGCACTAAAAAAATCAAAATTTCAAGATTTTCCTAAACTAACACATGGAGGTTTTTTTCTATTTATTCATTCCCAAATTTTATTTTTTATTTATATTTAAATAAATTTAAAATCCTGGAGAATTTAATTATTCCAAATCCTAAAGGATTCAGCTTTTTAGGACTGAATTTTAGGGATAAAAGCACTAACAAACCCCAAATTCCAAGCTTTTGTCCAAAATTAATCCATGGATTTTTCCCATTTCTTCACAGTTTGGTTCGCAGATTCCAAGCTGAAATGTATTCCCAAATTTTCTTTATCATTTATAATTTAAATTATTTCATTTATCTTTAATTATCAAATTACCTTTATCATTTATTATTTAAATAAATTTAAAATCTTGGATAATTTAATTATTCCAAATCCTGAAGGATTCAGTCCTGACCCATACCTCCCTCCTAAGGGAGGAATTTAAGGGGAAAATTCCCTTTAAAGAAAAAACTGAGAAATTCAGGTCACAGCAAAGGAAAACCAGGAAAATTTGGGGCACATGGAATAAATAGCAGGAAAATCCAGGTCACTTAAAATAAACAATGTGGATTTGGATGGTGTTTCCCTGGAATATTGGGATGGTTCCTTTGGAATATTTAAAGCCCAGAATTCCACGGGGATGAGCTTGAGGGAGGTGATTTGATGGATCCTCCTCATTCCTGCAGAGGATTCCCAAGGGACTTGTAATTCCTGGATTTTGTTTCCCTGGAATGATGGTTCTGGAATATTGGGATTGTTCCTTCAGAATATTTGAAGCCCGGAATTCCGCAGGAATGAGCTTGAGGAGGTGATTTTACGAGTCCTCCTCATTCCCAGGGAAAATTCCTGAGGGATTTGTAATTCCTGGATTTTGTTTCCCTGGAATGATGGTTCTGGGATATAGAATATTCCTTTGGAATGTTTGAAGCCTGGAATTCCATGGGGATGAGCTTGAGCAAGATGATTTGATGAATCCTCCTGATTTCCAAGGAAAATTCTTGAGAGATTTGTAATTTCTGGATCATGTTCCCTTGGAATGATGGTTCTGGGATATTGGGATGGTTCCTTTGGAATATTTGAAGGCTGGAATTCTGCAGGGATGAGTTTGGGGGAGGTGATTTGATGGGTCCTCCTCATTCCCAAGGGATTTGTAATTCCTGGATCATGTTCCCCTGTTATGATGGTTCTGGGATTGGGATTGTTCCTCTGGAATATTTGAAGCCCAGAATTCCACAGGGATGAACTTTAGGGATGTGATTTGATGAATCCCTCATTCCCAAGGGATTTGTAATTCCTGGATGGTGTTCCCCTAGAATGATGGCTCTGGGATTGGGATGGTTCCTTCAGAACATTTGAAGCCCGGAATTCCGCGGGAATGAGGGTGAGGTGGAGATGATTTGATGAATCCTCCCGATTCCCAAGGAAAACTCCTGAAGGATTTGTAATTCCAGGAGAAGCCGTTGTGCCCGTTGCCAACTGCGATGTCAAGGAATACAATTCCAACCCCAAGGAGCAGCTGCCCTTCAAGGAATACGTGGAATATTGGCGGGAATACATCAGGAACGGCTACCGCTCCTCCCGGGGCTGCCTCTACCTCAAGGACTGGCACCTGAGCAGGTCAGGGATCATTCCCAACGCTCCGGCAATGGGAATGCTCCTCTGGAGAAGGGAAGGATCCACGGAATCCTCGGAGCCCAAAGGGACTCCAGAAAAGCTGGAGAGGGATTTGGGATAAGCATGGAATGACAGGACCCAGGGAATGGCGTCCCACTTAATTTGGGAAGGAATTCCTGTTTGTGGTGGAATTCCCAGAGAAGCTGTTCCATCCATGGAAGTGCTCAAAGCCAGCTTGGAGCAGCCTGGCATAGTGGGAAGTGTCCCTGCCATGGGGTTGGAACTGGATGTTCTTTGGGATCCCATCCAACCCCAAAAATTCCATGATTCCATGATTGTCAGTTGTTCCAGTTGGGGTTTTGAGGCAAAGCAGACGAGCTCAGCATCAGTGTGGAGGGAAAATATTCCAGCATTCCCTGAGGGATTGCAAAGCCTTGGCCTCCAACTCCCAAAAGAGCCCCGGATTCCTCAAATCCCTGATATTGCCTCAGCCTAATTCCCAGCTTTTATTCCAAGCTCAAGAGACATTTAAACTCAATTTGGGAAGGAATTCGTGGCTGGGAGGGTGGGGAGGGGCTGGAATTCCCAGAGAAACTGTGGCTGCCCCTGGATCCCTGGAAGTGTCTGAGGCTATGCTGGAGCAGCCTGGGACAGTTGGAATTGTCCTTGGCCATGGAATGGGATGATTCTTAAGGTCCCTTCCCACCCAAACCATTCCATGTTTTCTCCCTATGGAAAACAGCACTGGAACAGCTCCTACAGTCACATCTGGATTGGGATTTGAGTTGGGATCATTCCATGGCCGTGTTGGATTTGGGATCCTTTTGTATCCATTGACTTTTTGGGAACATTCCCACTCCTTCCAGTTGCCTTCCCCCAGCTCTGCCTTTCCTTCTCCAGCTGGAAAAGAGCCTTGGGAAGGAATTTTCCCTGTGGGAATGGAGAGGGGTTGGGATGGAATTCCCAGAGAAGCCATGGCTGCCCCTGAATCCCTAGAAATGCCCAAGACCAGCTTGGAACAATCTGGGATACTGAAAATTTGGGATAAACTGCTCCTTCAACTCCCTTCCACCCCAAACCCCTGGAATTCCATCCTAAAGGATCCACCTTGCTCTTCCCACTGCATTCGGGGGATCCTGTTTTCCTGAGCTGCTTTTCCAAGCGTTTGTGTTTTCCAGAGCTTTTCCAGAGCAGGATGTTTACACCACTCCCGTGTATTTTTCCTCGGATTGGCTCAACGAATATTGGGATGCCGTGGCTGTGGATGATTTTAGGTTCGTCTACATGGGACCCAAGGGATCCTGGTAAGGCTCTCATCCCAAAAAACTCCTTTTCCAGCTGAATATCCCAGGAAATTATCCCAGTATCCCTCAGGATAACCAGGCAGGTCTCCCGGTGTCCCAGCTGGTTCTGGATGGGAGGGAAAAGGGAAAACCCCAAATTGTACCAAAAAAAAAAAAAAAATAAGTATCTGGGAGATTAGAGGAAAACGGAAAAGGGAAAACCCCAAATTGTACTCAAAAAAAAAAAAAAAGGATCTGGGAGATTAGAGGAAAAATTCCCTTGGGATCAGCCACTTGGAATGTGCAGGGATAACTCCAGTGTTTTGCAGGGGAAAATTCCAGGTGAAAATTCCAGCCCAGTATTGGTTCTAAAGTTGCATTTGGAGTGTTTTTATCAGAATTCCCTGCCCTTGAGGGATTTTTGGGATAAATTAAAGAGAAGCACAGAGGATATAAAGCACTCCATTATCCAGCCAGAGTTCCATCAGGAATTTTGGGATCAGTATCCATATAATGGCCTTTTAATAACCAAAACTCCATAATCCAACCAAAATTCCCTGAGGAATTTTGGGATCGATATGGACACAGTGGCTTTTTAATAGCCAAAACTCCACAATCCAACTGAAATTCCTTATGGAATTTTGGGATCAGGATGGACACAGTGGCTTTTTAACAGCCAAACTGCATTATCCAACCAAAACTCCATGAGGAATTTTGGGATTGGTATGGATACAGTGGCTTTTTAATATCCAAAACTCCATCATCCAACCGAAATTCCATGAGGAATTTTGGGATTGGTATGGATACACTGGCTTTTTAATATTCAAAACTCCACAATCCAACTGAAATTCCTTATGGAATTTTGAGATCAGGATGGACACAGTGGCTTTTTAACAGCCAAACTGCATTATCCAACCAAAACTCCATGAGGAATTTTGGGATCAGTATCCACATAATGCCCTATTAATAACCAAAATCCCATAATCCAACTGAAATTTCTTGAGGAATTTTGGGATCAGTATCCATATAGTGGCCTTTTATTAGCCAAAGTCCATAATCCAACAAAAATTCCATGAGGAATTTTGGGATCAGCACCTCAGCTTCTCAACTACTCGAATCCCTGTCGGAATTTTTTGGGATTGATTCCCGCCCATCCCTGATTTTTCCCAGGACGCCGTTCCATGCCGACGTCTTCCGCTCCTACAGCTGGTCAGCCAACGTCTGTGGCAGGAAGAAATGGCTCCTGTATCCCGCGGGACAGGAGGAATTCCTGAAGGATCGCCACGGGAATCTCCCCTTTGACGTGACGGCTCCAGATCTTCGGGATAAGAGGATTTATCCGCGCTACAGCCAGAGCCAACCCCCTCTGGAAATTCTCCAGGAAGCCGGAGAGATCGTCTTCATTCCCAGCGGGTGGCACCACCAGGTTTATAACCTGGTGAGGGAATGGATCCCACTGGGAATTGCTCTTGGATCGGGAAGTGGGATCCCAGAGGTTTTGTTGGGATGGATGGAAATTGGGATTTTTCTGGGAAAAGGTTGATCTGTTCTCCCAGGTGATGTTGGGAAGGAATGGTTTGGAATGGTTTTCCCAGAGAAGCTCCATCGCTGGAAGTGTCCAAGGATAGCTTGGATGAGGCTTGGAGCACCTGGGAGAGTGGGAATAGGATGGTCCTTGAGGTCCTTTCCCACCCAAACCAGGGTGGGAATTCCATGGCATAGAATTGGGGTGAGGAGGAAGGAGGAGGAAGATCCCAGGAAAAAGGAAGAGGAAAGGATGAAAATCCTTCCCAGGAAGGAGGAATTCCAGCTTGGAGCACCATGCACCATGGATAGTGGGAAGTGTCCCTGCCCATGGAATGGGATGATCCTTAAGAACCCTTAAGATAGGATTTTTTGAGTGGCACATTCCATATTATCATTCCTAATAACTTTATTAGTTGCTAATTACTAATTATCCATGAATTATCCCAAATATTTCCCTCAGGAAGACACTATTTCCATCAACCACAGCTCAGTCAGTGGCAGCATTTTGGGAATTGGGGACAATTTGGGTTTCTAAAGAAGGAATCAGATTTTTGGAGCAGCACATTCCATATTATCATCCCTGATAATTTATTTATTGACTAATTACTAATTATCCATGGATTATCCCAAACTTTTCCCTCAGGAAGACACCATCTCCATCAACCACAGCTGGGTCAGCGGCAGCATTTTGGGAATGAGGGACATTTTGGGTTGCTCAGGAATGGGATTTTTGGAGCAGCACATCCCACATTATCATCCCTAATAACTTAATTAGTGCCTAACTACTAATTATCCATGGATTATCCCAAACTTTTCCCTCAGGAAGACACCATCTCCATCAACCACAACTGGGTCAACGGCTGCAACGTGGCCGTCATGTGGAGCTTCCTGCAGGATGAGCTGGCGGCCGTCCAGAGGGAAATCAGCCAATGGAAAGATCCCATTGACGACTGGCACCTCCAGTGCCAGGTACATCCCAGATTATCCCGGAATTCCGGGATTACTGGAGTTCTCGCAGCAGAATTTCCCTGGTTTTTAAGGAAGCAGGAGTTGGGGACGGGTTTGTTTTGTTGGGAAATACTCCTTATAAAAGTTTGGGAATGCTCCCCATAAAAGTGTGGGAATTGCTTCTGGTTATTGGCTGTGTCCAGGTTGGAATGTTGGTTGGAAAGATGGAAAACTTAAGGATCAAGAGAGCTGGAAATATTCCCCTGGAGAAGGGAAAGTTTCAGGGAGAAACCTCGGAGCCCCTTCCAGAGCCTAAAGCTGCTCCAGAAAAGCTGGAGAGGGATTTGGGATAAGCATGGAATGACAAGACACAGGGAATGGCTTCCCATTGGAAAAATGGGGATTTAGATGGGATTTTGGGCAGGAATTCCTGGCTGGGATAGAATTCCCAGAGAAGCTGTGGCTGCCCCTGGATCCCTGGATCTGGGAAAGATTCCAAAAGACCAAACTCCGTAATCCAACCAAAATTCCATGAGGAAGAGGGTGGGTGAAATTCCTTCCAAATTCCTCTGGATGAATAAAATTCCAAGTTGACTTCTGGAAGCTGTTCCCTCTCCTTGGGTTGATTTCCTTCCAAAAATGAATATTTGGGAAAAACAACCTGGTGTCTTTGGCTCCAGAAGCAATTCCAATGAAAAAATTATTAAACATAATTATTTATGATTCCAAAGAATTCCTAACTTCATAACATCCAATTTTAGGGATTTTTCCTGGATTTTTCCCGCTGTCATAGGATTCTTCACTCCGTTTCCCCCCTTTAGCTGATCATGAAATCCTGCACAGGCATCGACTACAAGGAATTCTACAACTTCCTCAAAGTCATCGCGGAAAACCGGATTTCCGTCCTGGAGAAGGGCCTGGATGAGGAATCCTCATCCCAGAACAATTCCAAAGCCGCCATTTCCACCCTGGGAATGCTGCACGCCGTGTTCGACCTGAAGAGGACGGTGAAGGTGCTGAGCTCGTTAAGCGCTAACGAGGATTTCCGGAAGCTGGATCTGACTTCCCTGTCTCCTTCTCCGGAGGCTCTGCTCCAGCACCTGGAATCGGCCATAGACACGGCCCTGCTCTGAATTCCCGCTTTTCCAAGATGTTTTCCAAAGGTTTGGAGGAAATGGACTTGGACAAGAGCTTTACTCCAGCAGGAGGTGGGAGAACATTCCCCAAGTTCTGAGTGGTTTGGAGGAAATGGACTTGGACAAGAGCTTTACTCCACTGGGAGGAGGGAGAACATCTGGGAAGGAGGGAGAACGTTCCCCAAGTTCTGAGTGGTTTGGAGGAATTAGGGAAAAAACCATCCCAGCCAAAGGAAAATCCCAAACTTCCTTAGGATTCTGAGCTTCACTCAGGGAAAAAAATTCCCTATGGATCAAGTCTGGACGTGGAAAGAAGCAAATTCCCTGTGCTTAAGCTCAGCTTTGTTAAAACCTCTCCTCTTCCAGGTGCAGCTCAGCTTTTCCATCCTATTTTTAGGGAATTCCAGCTGGTGAATTCCATGGGAGCCTGAACTGGAGCTTGGATTTGGGAATGTTGATTCCATGTCTTCCAAAGTGGGATTTCCAAAGCTGAGACGCTCAGGATTAAATTTCATTTAATTCAACTCGGAGCGAAACCTGCCTTGACTCATCCCAACAAACAACAGGAATGGGAATGTGCTCCCAAAATTCCACGCTCTATCCCAAGCTCAAGAATTCCCTCCAGGAAAGATCAGAAAAGTTCTGAGTGGTTTGGAGGAATTAGGGAAAAAAACCATCCCAGCTAAAGGAAAATCCCAATTTTTTTAGGATTCTGAGCAGGCACTCAGGGAAAAAAATTCCTTGTGGAATTTTTTTGTGGATCCAGCACCTCCTGCACGCTTCCACAGCACAATTCCCACCCAGAATATTCCCAGTGGAACCTCCCCCCTCCTGCTTTTCCTTGGAAAAATCAAAAACCTGGAAGCACAAATGGCTGCACACTGTTACCTTCAGGCCTCGCTTGAATTCTTCCCGAAATCAAAACCAAGGAAAACTTAGAATTTCGGGAAGTTTTAGGAAGTCAAACTGAAAATCCACCTCGAATTCCTTGGAATTTTTACCTCCCCTGCACTTTGCATGTCCTTTTCCAGTAGGAATTTTGCATTTTTTTCTTCCTTCCCGAAAATATCAAGGAGCCGTTTTTCCTTAATTTAGGAAATTCCTGGATTCCTGAAGACAACAAGGAGCACGCAGAGCCTGGAATCTTCAAAATTCCAAGAGTTTTATTTAAATAAAAATTCCTGGCAAACTTCCAGTCAGATTCTCTCATTAATATATTAATTCTTAATTAGTTAATATAGTAATTAATCTGTTATTTATTAAAGGATAAAATTTGGGGAAAATGGGAGGAAAAAACCTGGGGGGGTTTTGTTTTCCCAGAGTCACCTGGATAAAGCAAAAAAATTCCTTGGAAAAATGAAGAAATTCCTGGGAAAAATGACAAAAATCACGTTTATTTTTTTAAAAAATCCCTTTTATTATTCCCAAAAATATCAAGGATCCACTTTTCCTTCGTTTAGAAAATTCCCAAATTCCTGAAAACAAAGAGGAATGGGAGAAGGAGCAAGTGGATCCTGGAATTTCTTCAAAATTCCAAGAATTTTAGTTAAATAAAAATTCCTGGCAAACTTCCATGGGATTCTCTCATTAACATATTAATTCTTGTAATTAATCTGTTATTTATTATATTATAAAATTTGGGAAAAATGGGAGGAAAAAACTTGGGGGGGGGGGGGGGGGGGTGGGGTTTGTTTTCCCAGAGTCACATGGATAAAGCAAAAAAATTCCTTGGAAAAATTAAAAAATCCCAAGGGAAAAATGACAAAAATCCCATTTTTTGTGAGCTTTGGATTTCCAATTCTTCATTTCCAAAAATAGCAAGGAGCACTTTCCTTAATTTAGAAAATCAGGAAAACTTGGGAAAAACAGCTGGAAAAAAGCTTGGGGAGTTTTATTTTCCTGGATAAGGAAAAAATTACCAGGAAGAATGAAAAAACTGTAAAGAAATGAGATTTTTTTAGGCTATTTTTAAATTATTTTGGGATGCTGGGAACAGCATCCCGAATATCCATTGGGAATATCCCAAATATTCCTTTTCCAAGGGAAATTCCAGCTCGGAGCACAAAGCACCTCCGGGATTGGCAGGGCACGAATCCAGCTGCGATTGGAGTTTTTATTCCATAATTTCTGCTTGTTTTCCCAGAATTTCCCAAAATCCGGGAAAAATCCGTGTTTTTTCCGAGCCCTCCAGAATTCCAAAGAAACACAGGATTATCCAAGGTGTGGGATCACCCCTGAGGTCTCCCAAGGAGAAATAAAAATTTTGGAGCACGGGAAAAATGGGGAAATTTGGGAATAGCAGCTTCCAAATGGAATTGGAGAAGTCCTGAGTTGGGAAAAGTAGCAAAAGGAGTGTTGGGAAAAATCTCCTCTCATTCCTGGAATTTTTAGGAGTTTTGGGATGAGCTCTCCTTCCCAGTCCAAGAAATCCTCTTAAAAATTGGGTTTTCCCTAAGAAATTCCTTCTTTTTCTGGGAATATTCCAGTGCAAAAATAAAAAACCCATCCCGAGCAGGAAAAGGAGATTTTTCCTGGGAATTATTTGCAGGAAAAGGGGATAAAACTCAAAACAAAAACAAAAACCTTGGAGATGAAAATTCCAGCCCTTCCAGTGTTTTTGGGATCAGGAAAACCTCGGCTGGGGAGGAATTCTTCCCTTTAAAGGCAGCCAGGGATACAATTCCCGCTTTTTCCAGAGGGGTTTGGTCCAGAAAATTCGGAAAAATTCACATTTTCCCTATGGATCAGGAGCTGTGGGAGTTTTCCTTCGGATGGAGCCGGATCCTCTGGATGTGTTCATAGCACGACTGGGGAGAGAAGAGAGCAAAAATTAGGGAAAAATTTGGGAATTCTGGGATCAAATCCAAGCTGCGGCAGGCAGAGAATCCTTGCTGATCCCACAGAGAATTCCAACAGAATTCAATCTGTCCAAAGTCAAGGATTAGGATTTTTTCCCAGCCTAGCAAGGGAATAAATTCCTGAAAATTCCATTCCAGAAAAACTGGAATTTTGCTGGAATTCCTGGAAAAAAATTCCCTCACCTCCAGTGCCGTCAGCAGGAAGTCCAACATTCCTCCCTGGTTGGTCGGATCCATCAAATCCCGGATCAGATGGATTTCAGCTCCCAGGTGTTGGATCCTAAGGAAAAACAAATCCCAAAATCAGGGAAAAATCTCAGGGCACGTGGAAGGGTTGGAATTTTGGAGAGGAGGAGGAGGGAAACTCTGGAATTCCAACGCTGATTGCTGGTGCATCCGGATCTGCTGGAGGGATCTGGGATTTCAAAATTCCAGAATCCCGGAATCCCAGAACTTCAGAATTCCAGAATCCCAGATTCCTGGAGTGCTTGGGGTTGGAAAGCTCCTTCAGGATGATCCATGAGCAGGGACATCCCATTATCCCAATTTTTCCCAAGCGTTTCCCACCAGGGACACTTCCAGGGATGGAGCACCACAACTTGAGATGCTCCATCCCAAGAAAATTCCAGATCCATCCATAGGAAATTCCAACTGCTGGATGGAGTTTTGGATTCCTCATCTCCCAAAGGAATCCCAGTTCCTGCTGAGGATGGAAAATTCCTGTAGGAATCCCAGAATTCCAGAGTGTTTGGGGTTGGAAAGGTCCTTAAAGATGATCCATGGGCAGGGCCCTGCCACTATCCCAATTTTCTATGGGATATATGGAATGGGACATTCCTGGTGTCTCAAATATGGAATGAGACATTCCTGGTGTCTCCCACATGGAATGGGACACTCCTGGAGATCCTCTTCCAGAGGATTACCAGCTTTTCCCTGGGATCCATTGTGGTGCTGCTGGGATAAAGGAGCCATGGAAACGTTTGTTTTTTTTCCCAGGAAAAGTGGGAATTTAAAAAAAAAAAACCAAACAAATTAGGGATGAAAGGATTTCAGAGATTTGGAGTTCATGGATTGGCCCCAAAGGGTGGAGGAAAGAGGAGGCAGTGAGGCTGGGCCAGGAGATATTCCAGGGTGGAATGGGACATTCCTGGTGTCTCCAGTATGGAATGGGACATTTGAGGATTTGAGGAATTCTGAGCTCTTTTTGGAGCTAGAGGCCAAGGCTTTGGAATCCCTCAGGGAATGTTGGAATCTTTTCCCTCCACGCTGATGCTGAGCTCATCTGCTTTACCTCAAAACCCCAACTGGAACAATTGAAAATCATGGAATCATGGAATTTTTGGGATTGGATGGGATCCTAAAGAACATCCAGTTCCAACACCATGCCAGGGACACTTCCCACTATCCCAGGCTGCTCCGAGTGTCCAACCTGGCCTTGGGCACTGCCAGGGATCCAGGGGCAGCCAGAGGTTCTCTGGGAATTCCATCCCAGCCCCTCCCCACCCTTCCAGCCAGGAACTCCTTCCCAGGGAATATCTGTGGGAAGTGAAGATGCTGAGCAGGGAATTGCTGGATTTAATCATCGATGTCTTCATGGAATTTTGGAGGAAAAAGTTCCATGGAATTCACTTTGTACCAGGAAGCACATCCCAAACAACTCTTCCTTAAACAGTGAATGGAACGGCCCGGGAATGCTTTTGAACAGGTACCAATTCCTGGCACTTCCCAAAAATAATCCCTGGATTTCAGTGGGAAGAGCCGGACAGGGACTCACATGAGCTTCTGCAGACACTCGGTGGCAGACAGGAAACATTTATCCTTGATCAGGGAGCGCCTCTGGAAAAGAGACAGGGATACCTCTGGAATACCGAGGGCAGAGATTCTGGAGCCATCCCACAAAATCTCTGTGGAAATCCACAGGCAGCGCCTCCGGATGGAACTGATCATGGAGCTCAGATTCCTGGGATTCATTTGGAGAAGCTCTGTCCTCATCCAAGGCCGATTCCATGTCCCGTTCCCATTCCCAGTTGGCTCCAAAGGTTTTCCTTACCTGGTTGGAGGTCAGGGTGAGATCTTTGAGAGGCCACAGGTGCCTGGAAAGGGAAAAGCGGGATTTAGGATGGATTCCATCCTGAATCCCATCGGTTCTTCCATCTTCTCCTCCGAGGTACTGCCAAAGCCTCGGAGGCTCCACCTGCTCCTCTCCTGGCCCTGCTCCAGGTTTCCATGGATCCACTTCCATCAGAGCACCCATCCCATGGACCCACTTCCCTGGGAATTCCATCCCATGGATCCACTTCCCTGGGAGTTCCCATCCCATGGATCCACTTCCCTCAGAGATCCCATTCCACGGAGCTTCCCTGGGAGCTCCCATCAGAGTTCGCATTCCTCAGGGATGATCCTGGGATAAGTCATGAGAAATTTTGGCACTTTTGGATCCAATTCCTCTCACTTCTTTTGGACGGAATCCAATTGTGACCCTGGATATGCTGTGCTCCTGAAACCCCAGAGGAAAATTCCCAAGCTGTTTTCCATCACTTCCAGAGGTGGACCCAGGAGTAGGAATGGATAAGGGAAACATCTGCCTCCACTTTTTCCATCCTTTCAGTCAGTATTCCCACATTTTTACAGGGAATACCCTGGAATGAACATTCCTTTTCCAAGATATTTATCAATTCTGGATGATTCAGAGCAAAAAATTTGGGAATTTTCCACACAAAAATGAGGATTAGTAGGGATAACAGCACTTTTCCATTACCAATTTTTCTTCCATCCAAACATTTCTGAGTAGGAATTCTGGGAGAAACTCCAGGAAAAAACTGGGAAAAACCAATGATGAATCCAACAAACAACTCAACCTTTCTGGGATTTTCCCTGGGGATGGAAAAATCCCGCTTACTTCTGCACATCCAGGAATTCCAGGAGCTGGATATCCGGGAAGAGGCTGAGCTCCACGATTCCCTGGCAGTAGAGCTCGTCCTCCCGCTGGTGCTGGAGCATGTAGAGCATGGAGAGCTCGGGATAGAATCCAGGCAGGATCAGCGGCAGCACCAGGCTGGAGCCCTTCCCGAGACTGGAAAACAGGGAAAAAAATCCAGGATTTTCCAGGGAAATCCATGTGGATATTCCCAAACACATAGAAGAGGCATTTCCGAGGGGTTCTCCTTGTTTTCCGCTCTTCCGAGCTTGGCACGGTTGGGTTGTGGTGGCCACAAGTTGATCCAAGAGGATCTGGTGCTCCAGGAGATCTCCAGGGAATTCACTGGGGAAAAACTTGGGGCTCCAGGAGATCTGCAGGAAATTCACTGGGAGAAACCTGGAGCTCCAGATCTCCGGAGTCACCAGGAAAAACCTGGAGCTTCAGGACATCTCCGGAGTGCCAGAAAAAACCTGGAGCAGGAGGAGATCTCCAGGAAATTCACTGGGAGAAACCTGGAGCTCCAGATCTCCAGAGTCACTGGGAAAACCTGGAGCTCCAGATCTCTGGAGTCCCAGAAAAAACCTGGAGCAGGAGGAGATCTCCAGATAATTCACTGGGAGAAACCTGGAGATCTCAGGAGTCACCAGGAAAAACCTGGAGCTCCAGGAGATCTTTGGAGCCACTGGGAAAAACCTGGGCACAAAGCCTGGCTCAAGCAGACAAACATGAGCTCAGCACTTCCTGAATTCCAGAACCCCTCGTAAATCCCACCGGGATCTGAACACGGAACCCCCGGAGGTGCCACCAACCTGGGATCCGCGTCCTCCGAGGGCGCGCGGCCCTTCCGCTCCAGGGCCAGCCGGAGCAAACCCCTGGACAGAAAAACAAGGATTAATTCCTTCCCTGTTTTTTTTTAAGGATAATTTGTTCCCAAAGGAGGAGCTGTCCCAGCATCCAGTGCGAGATCAGTGGAAATCCCTGGAATTCTGGCAGAGTTGTTGCAGTGTTTGAGGGGTTTCTGCTCGAGCAGCAAAAGCACCAGGAATGGCTGAGAATTCCAGAATTTCCATGGATTCTGAAGAGCAGAGTGGTCACAATTCCCAACCCCACTCTGGAAAAGCAGTTGGGCTTTGCCTTGATTTCCCAGAGAATCCTGGAATGGTTCGGGTTGGATTTTACGAAGGAATTCCTGGCTGGGAGGGTGAGGAGGGGCTGGGATGGAATTCCCAGAAAATCTGTGGCTGCCCCTGGATCCCTGGAAGTCCAAGGAGAGGTTGGACAGGGCTTGGAGCACCTGGAATAGCAGGAAGGGATTGGAGCTGGATGAGGTATCCAACCCAAAGCATTCCATGATCCCATTTTTCCTTCAGTCATGGATTTCCAGCCCCATGGATTTGTGCTCTGATTGACACTGTCACCTCAAGGAAGCAACTCTCCCAGGAACTCCCAAAGACTCTCAAGAATTCCAAAGAACTCCCAAGAATTCTGAAGAATTCCCAAGAATTACAAAGAACTCACAGGAATCCCGAAGAACTCACAAGAATTCTGAAGAATTCCCAAGAATTCCTAAGAACTCCCAAGAATTCCTAAGAACTCCCAAGAATTCTCAACAATTCCAAAGAATTCCAAAGAACTCCCAAGAATTTCAAAGAACTCCCAAGAATTCTGAACAATTCCCAAGAATACCAAAGAACTCCCAAGAATTCTGAACAATTCCCAAGAATTCCAAAGAACTCCCAAGAACTCCCAAGAAAACAGGAACACAAATAAGGCCCACCTCCTAATCCCACAATCCCAAAGATCCACTCCATGCTCCCACCCCATGGAAAACCTCCATGTTGGACTCACCGGTAGAATTCCCAAATTTTCTTGGAGTAGAACTTGACCTCCTCCTGCGCCATGGCCAGCAGGTGCCGGTTGGCCCCGATCCCGGAATACGTTGCCTGGAACGCCACGGTCAGAGCCCTGAGCAGCTTTCCCAAGGGATGCAGGGAAGATTCCAACGCCTGGAAAATCCAATTTCATGGATCAGGAGGAGAGGGAAAGCCCCAAAGGGCACCTGGATTTCTCTTGGAATTCCCAACTGGAATTTGGGATCTTCTGGATGCCATAAATGCTCTCTGCTCCCTTTTCCGGCTGGGATTTGCTGGGATATTCCAGAGGGAACAAAAGGTACTCCAGGGAAAAGTGGATGAGGAAAAAAATCACCTCACTATTTATTAAATAAATTCTTTATTAATTTTTCTATCCTACAAATTCTCTGTTTTTTAAACAAATTCTCTGTTTATTAATTATTATTAAATTATCTATTTACTTAAATTCTCTATTATTAAAATCTCAATTATATAAGTTCTTTATTCTTAAATTCTCTATTTATTATTAAATTCTCTATTTTTAAATTATCCATTATATAAATTCTTTATTTATTCTTAAATTCACTATTATATACATTTTCTATTATTAAATTTTATTATTAAATTCTCCATTATTAAATTACCTATTAATTCTGTTATTAAATTAGTTATTATAGTAAATTTTCTATTATTAAATTCCCAATTTATTATTTAAGTCTCCATAATTAAATTGACTATTAATTATTAAGCTATTTGTTATTAACTGCTTTATTATTAAATTGTCTATTTAATATTAAATTCTTTATTATTCAACTTACTGATTATACAAATTCTCAATTTATTATAAATTCTCTATTTATTATTAAATTATCCATTATTAAATTCCCTGTTTATTTTATAAATTCCTTAATTATTATTAAATTATCCATTATTAAATTCCCTTTTTTAAATACAAATCCCTTTATTAGCAAATTCCTTATTAATAATATAAATTCTTTATTATTTAACTCTCTAATTATTAATAAATTCCCTACTATGAAATTTTTTCTTCTGTAAATCCTCTGTTATTCAATTATTTATTATCAAATCCTGAATTTTGATCATTTTAATAATGAAAATTTTATTAATTTTTGATAATTTTATTCAATAATTTCAATCCTCACCTTCTCCAAGTAACTCTGGATCGACTCTGGCTCCTGGTGCTGGACGAGCTCTTCCAGGATCTCCTCAATTTTCCAAGAAATCTCCTCAGCGCCTCTGGAAAAATGGGAATTGAGGAGGGAAAACCACCCATGGATAAATCCCAACTGGCAGATTCCAAAGGGGCATTAAAATAATTCCAAGAAATTAATTTTTCATGGATGTGGATTAATCTCAGCAGCAAAAATTCCAGCTGAGGTGGGAAATTCCTGCTCCTTTGTCCCCAGTGGAAATCCCTGTTTATTTTATAAATTCCTTAATTATTATTAAATTATCCATTATTAAATTCCCTTTTTTAAATACAAATCCCTTTATTAGCAAATTCCTTATTAATAATATAAATTCTTTATTATTTAACTCTCTAATTATTAATAAATTCCCTACTATGAAATTTTTTCTTCTGTAAATCCTCTGTTATTCAATTATTTATTATCAAATCCTGAATTTTGATCATTTTAATAATGAAAATTTTATTAATTTTTGATAATTTTATTCAATAATTTCAATCCTCACCTTCTCCAAGTAACTCTGGATCGACTCTGGCTCCTGGTGCTGGACGAGCTCTTCCAGGATCTCCTCAATTTTCCAAGAAATCTCCTCAGCGCCTCTGGAAAAATGGGAATTGAGGAGGGAAAACCACCCATGGATAAATCCCAACTGGCAGATTCCAAAGGGGCATTAAAATAATTCCAAGAAATTAATTTTTCATGGATGTGGATTAATCTCAGCAGCAAAAATTCCAGCTGAGGTGGGAAATTCCTGCTCCTTTGTCCCCAGTGGAAACAACTGGAAAATTCTTGGAATTACACAACACTCCTGCGTGGGAATGAGGGTCTGCATTCCCAACAGGAATTCCTGGGATTTCCTCAGGGATTCCTGGGATTTCCTCAGTACCTTCGGCAGAATAGGAATTCCCAGGATTTCTTCTTCATCAGAACAGGAATTCCCATAATTCCCTTAGTAAAAGTTCCCATTTCTTTGGCAGAACAGGAATTCCTAGGATTCCCACACTGGCAGAACAGACACTCCCAGGATTTCCTCAGGAATTCCTGGGATTTCCTCATTGGCAGAACAGGAATTCCCAGGATTCCCTCAGGAATTCCCGGGATTCCCTCAGTACCTCTGGCAGAACAGATATTCCTGGGATTTCCTCAGCTCCTTGCTGGTTTGGATGTGGAATCCCGTGAAAGATTCCTCCGTTTCCTCCTTGCAGCCGGAATGGAGGAATTCCTGGAATTGCTCGAAGATTCCCGTCCATCTCTTCTCCACTGGGAATTCTTTGAGGCCCAGCTGGCTGGAAAGCAACACAGGATTGGGATTTTCCATGGTCTTCCCAAACTCTTGGGGATTTCCCCCTCAAATATGGGAATGTTCTCTGGGATTTGATGGAAACACAGGGCTGGGAGAGCTGGGAATGTTTTCCTGGAGAAATGAAAATTCCAGGGGCTCCACGAGAGCTGGAGAGAGACTTGGGACAAGGGATAGAGGAACAGGACACAGGGAATGGCTCCCACTGGAAAAATGGGGATTTAGATAGGATTTTGGGAAGGAAATCCTGACTGGGATGGAATTCCCAGAGCAGCTGTGGCTGCCCCTGGATCCCTGGGAATGTCCAAGGTCAGCTTGGATCCACATGGGACAGTGGGAGAATCCATGGAATTGAATTATCCTTAAACTCCATTCCCACCAAAATCATTCCTGGATAATCCTACATGGATTCCATAAATGGGAATTCCTAAATGGGAATTCCACAAAAACCCTTCAAGTCTCTTGTCCTGACCACAAAAATCCTTTAGGGGAAAAAAAAAATTCCAGATGCGTGGGACAGAAATAATCCAGAATTTTTTAATTCCTGCTCCATGCACTGCTGGATATTCCTAAATATTCCTAATTAAGAGTCTTTATCTCCTCGGAATTCCTGCAGAAAAGCTGGAAAAGAGTTGAGCAACACCTCCCAGGAGTTGTTCCTGCCTGGATAGCTCAGGGAAAAGGAATTTCTGTCCCACGGATGCTCCACAGGACTGGGAATGTTTTAGAGGGGAAAAAAGATGGAATTGAACTGGGATTTGGGAGGAGAACTGGAATTTGGGAGGAATTTGGGCTGGATGGCATCAAAACATCCATTCCTGCTTCCCAACAGGAATTAATTCCATGAAAATCCTAGGATGGCACTAAAACATCCATCCCTGCTTCCCACATGGAATTAATCCCAGTTCCAGGATTTCAGAAAAAGCTTCCCTATGGAATTAACCCCATGAAAATTCCAGGATTTCAGGAGAACATCCATCCCTGCTTCCCTATGGAATTAATTCCATGTAAATCCTAGGATGGCACTAAACATCCATCCCTGCTTCCCTATGGAATTAACTCCATGACAATTCCAGGATTGCAATCCAATATCCTGCTTCCCACATGGAATTAACTCCATGAAAATCCCAGCATGGCACTAAAACATCCACTTCTGCTTCCCATTTGGAATTAATTCCAGACAATCCGAGGAATTCAGGAAAAGCTCCATTCCCTGCTTCCCTATGGAATTAACTCCATGCAAATCCCAGGATTTCAGTCCAACATCCATCCCTGCCTCCCACCACACTGAACCCCCTGGGCTCCATCCCTCCCTGTCCCATTGCCCACAAATCCACACTGGGATCAATTCCAGGGAATGCCTGTGGGGCTGGATCCGGAGCATTCCCAAGGATCCCATCCCAAGGATCCCATTCCTGAGGATCCCCAAGGAGCCCCTTCCTGAGGATCCCCTTCCCAAGAATCCTTTTCCAGAGGATCTTGTTCCCAAAGACCCCGTTCCTCAGGATCCCGTCCCAAGGATCCCCTTCCTGAGGACCCCATCCCAAAGACCCTGTTCCCAAGGATCCCATTCCTGAGGATCCCATCCCAAGGATGCCATTCCCAAGGACCCTGTTCCCAAGGACCCCGTTCCTCAGGATCCCATTCCGAGGATCCCCTTCCCATGGATCCCGAGGATCCCATCTCGAGGATCCCATTCCTGAGGATCCCATCCCAAGGATGCCATTCCCAAGGATGCCATTCCCAAGGACCCTGTTCCCAAGGATCCCATCCCGAGGGACCCCATTCCATGGATCTCAAGGATTCCATCCCAAGGACGCCACTCCTGAGGATCCCATTCCTGAGGACCCCATCCCCAAGGACCCCGTAACCCAGGATCCCATCCCAAGGACCCTGTTCCCCAAGATCCCATCCCAAGGACCCCCTTCTTCCCCAGTATCCCATCCCGAGGATCCCCTTCGCCAGGATCCCAAGGATCCCATCCCAAGGACCCCATTCCCAAGGATCCCATCCCAAGGACACCATTCCTGAGGATCCCATCCCGAGGAACCCCTTCCTGTGGTTCCCAAGGACCCCATCCCAAGGTCCCCGTTCCCCAGGATCCCATCCCAAGGACGCTGTTCCCCAGGATCCCATCCCAAGGACCCCATTCCCAAGGATCCCATCCCAAGGACACTGTTCCCCAGGATCCCATCCCGAGGATCCCATCCCGAGGTCCCCGTTGCCCAGGACCCCATCCCGGCTCTCACTCGGTGGCCGGTGGCCGCTCGGGCTCGCTGGCCGTGCTGAGCACGCCGTGGGTGCTGAGCCCGCGGCCGCCGCGCGCGCTGAACGTCCCCTCCAGCACGAAGCCGTTGGCCAAGGAGAGCTTGCCCTGCCGAAAATGTTATAAATTAAATTAAAATCACCAGTTCTATTCATTTTTAATTAAAAAATTACTTAGTTCAATTTCTCTGCATCAATTCTCTGCTCAATTCTTAATCATTATTTAATTCTTTGTTGTTAAAATCTCTATTTGTTATTAAGCTTCCTATTATTAAATTCCTTTTTTATTATTAAATTCTCTATCGTTAAATTCCCTTTTTGTAATTAAATTCTCTTTTATTATTACATTCTGGAGCACTTTCTCTGCGGAAAAATCTGGAATTATAAATTCAATTTAAAATTTTAATTTAAAAATAACTTATTTCAATTTCTCAACATCAATTCTCCATTCAATTCTCTATTATTATGGAATTCTTTGTTATTAAATTCTCTGTTATTAAATTCTCTATCATTAAATTCTCTATTGATTATATAAATTCTCTGTTGATCATTAAATTCTCTATTTATTATATAAATTCACTATTATATAAATTCTTTATTTATTATTAAATTCCCCATTATTACATTTTCTGTTTATTATATAAGTTCTCTATCATTAAATTCTCTATTTATTAATACATTAGTTACTATTAAATTCTCTATTTACTATTAGATTTTCTACTTTTCATTAAATTCTTTATTAAATTCTCTATCATTAAATTCTCTATTTATTACATAAATTCTTTATTATTGACTTGTCTGCTTATTTTTAAATTCTTTATTATTAAATTTTCCATCCTTAAATTCTTTATTTATTATATAAATTCTTTATTATTTAATTCTCTATTGATTAATAAATTCTTTACTATTAAATTATCTATTAATAAAGTGTCTAATTATTATTAATTCTTTAATTTTAAATTCTTTACTATTAAATTCTCTATTTATATAATTATTCTACTCTCCATTATTCGATTATCTATTAATTATTAAAATCCCAAAAATGAAATCCAAATCAATATCCCAAATCTGGCTTGGAATCCCAGCCAGAAAAGCAGGAAGCACATTCCAGCTGCAGCCAAATCCCAGATTTCTCTGGATTTACCACAAAATCCAAACAGGAATTTTGGAGGGAAAATATCCCAGCACTGGAATCAAGCCCTCAAAATCCACCCCGGAGATTTCCCAGGGATTCCCAGATTTTCCCATCCCGGGGATTTCCAGATTCCAAGGGAATCTTGGATTCACCACCATTTTCTCAGCATGGAATGTCCTTGGAGGAGGAAGGTGATGACAAATTCTTCCTCTTCCTACCGAAGCTCATTAGCGTTAATTAACGAGCGTTAATTGTGCCATCTCCCAGAATTCCTGCCAGGCTGATCCCAGATTTCTGGAAAACTCGTTTTCCCTGCCCTGGGGATTTTTTCAACACTTTGGAGCAGGAATTTCTGTCGGAATCCAACCACAAAAGCTGGGACGTGTCAGGGCAGGGCCTGGGTTGCGAAATCCCGGATTTCCGCTGCCTCGGTTACGGCAGCTCCGGGTTCTGCATCATTTCCTGTGGCCCCAAGCCCTGGAATGGTTTTGTTTTAAAAATAAAAAAAGGATTTTGGGTGCAGCTGCAAAGGACAGCCAAAAAAACAAAACAAAAAAAAAAAACAATAAAAACTCAAAAAAAAGGAAAAAACCCCACAAAAACTCAATCAAAAATGTCCCATAAAACCCAAAAAAACCCACAAAAAAAAGAGAGAAAAAATCCCAAAAACCCAATCAAAAATGTCCCTTGAAACCCAATAAAAATTAAAAAAAAAATCAAACAAGAAAACCCAAAAAACACAACCAAAAATGTCCCATAAAACTCAATAAAAACCCAACCAAAAAAAAAAAAAAACCAAAAAACCACTCTCCATTATTCGATTATCTATTAATTATTAAAATCCCAAAAATGAAATCCAAATCAATATCCCAAATCTGGCTTGGAATCCCAGCCAGAAAAGCAGGAAGCACATTCCAGCTGCAGCCAAATCCCAGATTTCTCTGGATTTACCACAAAATCCAAACAGGAATTTTGGAGGGAAAATATCCCAGCACTGGAATCAAGCCCTCAAAATCCACCCCGGAGATTTCCCAGGGATTCCCAGATTTTCCCATCCCGGGGATTTCCAGATTCCAAGGGAATCTTGGATTCACCACCATTTTCTCAGCATGGAATGTCCTTGGAGGAGGAAGGTGATGACAAATTCTTCCTCTTCCTACCGAAGCTCATTAGCGTTAATTAACGAGCGTTAATTGTGCCATCTCCCAGAATTCCTGCCAGGCTGATCCCAGATTTCTGGAAAACTCGTTTTCCCTGCCCTGGGGATTTTTTCAACACTTTGGAGCAGGAATTTCTGTCGGAATCCAACCACAAAAGCTGGGACGTGTCAGGGCAGGGCCTGGGTTGCGAAATCCCGGATTTCCGCTGCCTCGGTTACGGCAGCTCCGGGTTCTGCATCATTTCCTGTGGCCCCAAGCCCTGGAATGGTTTTGTTTTAAAAATAAAAAAAGGATTTTGGGTGCAGCTGCAAAGGACAGCCAAAAAAACAAAACCCAAAAACCATAAAACCTCCCAAAAAACCTCAAAAATTCAACCAAAAATGTCCCACAAAACCCAACAAAAACAGCCCAGAAAACTCAATTAAAAATGTCCCATAAACCAAATACAAAAACCTCAAAAAATAGGAAAAAAATCCCAAAACCTCAACCAGAAATGTCCCAAAAAACCCAAGAAAAACCCAAGAAAATAAACCCCAGAAGCTCAACCCAAAAAACCCAAATCAACCAAACATGAAGTAAATGAAACATGAAAATCCCAAATTATTCTCAAAATCCCCAAAAATCTCCAGCTGCAGCTTTCCTTCTGTGCTAAATATTCCAGAAATTCAGAAAACGGGGTTTTTTAGGAAGCTGGGGGAAGCAGAGGAGGAAGGAATAAAGTTGGGAGATGAATCCATGGGAAATTCCAGGAGGAGAGGGAGGAATTCCCACCTTTCCAACAAATGTCAGATCTTCCGTGAAGTTCCCTTCGTAGACGGAGTTGTCTTCCAGGAGCAGAATTCCCGAACCCTTGGGATGAAAGGAAAAGTTGGGAATTCGTGGAATGAACTTCTCACCTGGTCCAATTCATCCCAGAAAAATTTATGGGATGCAGATTCCAAGAATTTTTTTTTTAAAAAGCCAAACATCTCCTTTTAATGCCTGGGAGAAGCTCCGGGGAAAACCCATGGACAAGGAGGTCAGGAAACTTGGAACAACAAAATTATTCCATGGATTTTCCAAGGAAAAGGAACAGGGTCACAGGGTCAAACTCGTGGTGCTCCTAATCCTAATCCTTGGGTATTTTAGGGAATTCTTTGGGAAATTATTCCAAGAAAACAGTGACTGTGTGGAATCCTGGACTTCCCTGTGGGAAAGGGATCCAGAAGGATGAAAATCCAACTCCTGGCACAGGAGGCATCCCAAGAATCCCTGGAAAATCCCAGAGCTCTGGTAGTGTTGGGAATGTGCCCATTCCATGCAAAATTATTCCAGGGAATAATTCCTATCCACGGGGAATTTTCTGCCCACTGGGATTTATTCCACAGTTTAAGCCCAAAGGTTTCTTCATCCCCAAACCAGTTGGGATCACTTCCAGAGCTGGAATATTTTCCTCTGGAATGAAAATGTCCCATAAAGCCCAATAAAGAACCCAAAAAAAGCAGAAAAAAATCCCAAAATCTCCATTAAAATTGTCCCATAAAACCCAATTAAAAACCCCAAAAAAGAGAAAAAAAGTCCCAAAACCTCAATCAAAAACATCTCATAAAACCCAATAAAAACCATTTTTCCCTAATTCAGGAAGTGGGAATGGGGTTGTTGGTTTTTTTTAAAGGATGGATTTTTTTAGGTTTGGTTTTTTTTAGGATGTTTTTATTCCAATGCCAATTCCTTTTGCTTTCCCCACCAAATTCCCAATGTTCCATGAACTGGAGGGGTGAATTCCCTCTGGAAAAGTAAGGATTTCATGATTTCCAGAAAAGATGGAATGTTATGGAATTCTTGGAATGGTTTGGGCTAGAAGGAACCTTCAGGATCCATGGGCAGGGATCTCCCACTGTCCCAGGGTGCTCCAACCTGTCCTTGGACATTCCAGGGATCCAAGGGCTGCCACAAATCTCTGGGAATTCCACCCTAACCCCTCCAATCCAGGAATTCCTTCCCAATATCCCATCAATCCCTCTGAAAGGGGAGAAGAAACAAGACTTAACCAAGACCTTGTTCTTCCAAACCACGATTAAAATCATGGAATATCCTGAAAGCCCCAAAAGGATCCAAATCCAACCCCTGGCCTTGCACAGACATCCCAACAATCCCACCCTTTCCTGGAGAGTTTTCCAAAGATTCCTGGAGCTCTGGCAGCCTTTGGAATGTGCCCATTCCCTTGGGAATGTCCATCACGAGCACCCTATCGGAGGCAGAACCTTTCCCTGGTCCCCAACCCTCTTTGTCCTCCAGGATGAATTCGGGAATGAAACCTTGATCTCGCCCTTGGCGGTGAACTCCCCATTCCCAAGGATTTCCAGATTCCACGGAAATCTTGGACTCACCACCATTTTATCCGCATGGAATGTCCTCTGGTAGCAGAGCCCTGACTGAGTCACCACGATGCCTTCTCCGTGTCTGTGGTCATCCAACCACATCCCGATGTACCTCTCCCCTCTGGAACGCAAGGAACACCCAAGTGATGGATTTTCCTTGCTTTCCCAGCTCTCAATCCATCAGATTTGTCCTGCTCAGGCTGGTTTTTCCTGACACAACGCTCCAGGCTGGCTGTCCCACACAAACTGAGCTCCGGGAATATTTTCCAAGGAATTCAAGCCTTACATCCCCTTCCCTCACCCATCCCAAATCTGCAGGATTTATCCCACCAAACCCAAAGCTGTCCCACGCCCCAGATCCATCCCACCTTTACCTCTCCTTGTCTTCCCAGACTCCGTATCCGTTCTTTTTGTCGTTTTCCCACTGTCCTGTGTATTTGAAGGGACGCTCAGCCGAGAAGTTCTCCAGGATCCCAAACCCTTGGCGCACGTTGTCCTTGAAGTAGCCCTTGTAGACCAGATCATTCCCATACCTGCAGGAAGAGGGATGGAATTCCAGCCTGGAAATATCTGACAGCTACTCCTGGAGTAGAAAACCAGGGAAGTGAGGAGATCAGGCTCATCCGTCTCAAAATATTCCAAAGATTTGTCCAACAGTGCTAAATTGAATCCTTGTTTGCTGTCGGGAATGTGCATCACCCAAACCGGACATTCCAGAGCTTCCCAAATTATCCAAGGACTCAACACACAGGCTTGGAGTTGTCCTGGGAGAGGCCACTCAGGCCTTGACCTCTCACCATCCTGGGCACAGGAATCTCTGGTGAATCCAGGCTGGAAAATCAGATCCATTGGAAGGAGGCCAAGCTTGGATCCAGCTCTTTGTGGTGGCCACCAGCCCTTCCCTGGACTGGTCCCTCTGGGAAGAGCAGCTCCAAGTTGAAGGAGCAGAACATCCAGGTTGGAGGACAGGCCTATCCCATAGGCCCGTCCCAGTTGGAATGTGGGGTCTGTCCCACTTGGCACGGAGAAATCAAGGACAGGGATGAGCAGGAACGGGGCACAGCCCAATGTTCCCAGCAGCCAAAGCATCTGGGGTGACCTCAGAAGAGGAAATTCCAAGGAAACCTCAGAGCCCCTTCCAGGGCCTGAAGGGGATCCAGGAGAGCTGGAGAGGGACTGGGGACAAGGGATGGAGGGACAGGACCCCGGGAAAGGCTTCCACTGCCAGAGGGCAGGGATGGATGGGAGATTGGGAAGGAATTCCTGGCTGGGAGGGTGGGGAGGAACTGGGATGGAATTCCCAGGGAAGCTGTGGCTGCCCCTGGATCCCTGGAATGTCCAAGGAAAGGCTGGAGCATCCTTAGACAGTGGGAGGTGTCCCTGCCCATAGAATGGGATCATCCTTAAGCTCCCGAACAATTCTAGAATTCTAAATGCTCACAAAGCATTTCCAGACCAGGCTCCAAAGATTTCAGGGAACATTTCCCACTTTAAATCCCCGGAACCCCCTTTTCCCTGGAACCCGTCCTGGATTTTACTTACTCACAGATTCCATAACCCTTCATCTTGCCCTGGTACCAGTGGCACTTGTAGCAGTCGTAGCGGTCCTCGGAGCGCCGCGGGACCAGGCAGATCCCAAACCTGCCAGGGGCACGTGGAAAAGGTCAGCGTGGAAAAATCAGCGTGGAAAAGGTCGTCATGGAAAAGGTCAACATGGAAAAGGGTGACTCCATTGTAGTGGATGAACTTCAAAAACCAATTTGAACTTCATGGGATTGGGTTGGTTTTTTTTTCTGTAAAAAATCTTCTCATTTAAATGAGGTCTTAAAGAGATCTAAAAACAACCTTAAGAGGTTTTCTGTGAATAAACTCCCATGGGTTTGGGGATCTGGGATCAGATTCCAACTGGATGGAAATTCTGCATGGAAAAGGTCAGCACGGAGAACAGCGCCTCCATTGTAGTGGACGAAGTTTAAAAACCAATTTGAATTTTATGGGATTGGGGTTTTTTTCTGTAAAACTCCTTATTTAAGTGAGATTTATAAAAGGATCTAAAAATAACTTTAAGACACTTCCTCGGAATAAATTCCCATGGATTTTGGGATCTGGGATCAGGTTCCAGCTGGATGGAAATGTCTGCATTGAAAACAGCAACTCCATTGTAGCGGATTAAGTTCAAAAATCAAGGATTGTCCAAATTCCCAATCTTTATGTGCCTGGATCAGCCCTAGCTGGGACACTTTTCCCAGGTGCCACTGGACTTTTTCCAAAGGAAAGCTCATCCCTTTGGGAGCTGCACTCCCAGATCCTCACTGTTCCTTCTCCAGAGTTTCTTTCAGTGCTGGTTTTCCCCCTCTTTCTTCTTTCCCCAATTTAGGGGCTGATGTAAATGTTCTGGGATTCCCAACACAAAGTGTTTGGGATATTTCCCCCCCACCTTGGAAAAATGAGGAATCCTAAAGTCCTATTTCCAATAAAATTGAGATAAATAATACCTGAATTTCATGGATTGGTTTCTTAAATCGTGAGAAAAAACTCATTTAAGTGAGGTTTCAAAGGGATCTAAAAATAACTTTAAGACACTCCCTGGGAATTAATTCCCACGGATTTTGGGATCTGGGACCAGATTCCAGCCCCTGGGGTCAGTCACTGTCAGTCCCCTCTCTCCAGGCTCCAACCTCTGACAGGAACCATTCCAGTTTCTTTTCAAAGCAGGGAATATCCCGTTCTCCAAGCCTTACCCGTGCTCCAGGCCCTCCTGGAAATCCCCGACATGGTTGCGTCCGTCGCGCCACTTCAGCGTCCCCCTGGAACCCAAGGAATTCTCTCACAAGGGACATCACGACATTCCCAGATAGAACAGCACCTACTAAAGCCCAGCCTAAATATGTGTTTGAAATGCCAATATTTTAATTTAGATTTAGATTTACATCTCCTTTGGCTTTGTGGATCAGAATGGAAAAGGGGAGCAGCCAAAGGGGATGAGGGAACAGCTGGAGCTGGGCCAGGTTTAGGTTGGATTTTAGGGAAAAGTTCTTCCCCTAGAGGGTGTCGGGCACTGAACATTCCCCAGGGAATGGGCACATTCCCAAGGCTGCTCCAGGAGTTTGGACGGGGTGGGATTGCTGGGATCTGTGCAGGACTTAAACCCTGTGAGCCCTCCCCACTCCAGATATTCCATAATTTCATGTCTGCTCCAGGCACAAGGATGTTTAAGCCACATCTGAGTGGGAGTCTGGCCGTCTCCCAGCCCAGGTCACCCGGAATTCCAGGACAGGCACTGGAGAACTCTGGAATTCCAGGACAGCCAGTGGAGAATGCTGATGTTTTTGCCAAAGAGCCCAAATTCCCACTCCCACAGCTCTGCTCACGTGCTCCTCCCTCAGAAATCCCAGAGCAGCCACCAAGGCCAGGACGCTGCTCTGGAACCTTCCAGCAACAAAATCATGGCAGAGGAATTCCAGGAGTGAAAAGGGAACTCAAATCCAAGGAATTGAACACCTGAAGTCCCTGAATTCTGCCAGAAATTTCCTGGGATGCCTCACCCATGTCACTCCATGGGCAGGAGAGGTTTGGATTAATCCCAGTTTTCCAGCCCTAAGGCAGGACAGGAAAAACATCTGGAGATGGTTTTGAGGGAGTGAAGATGGGGATGATCCAAAGGTCTCCTGCCCTGAACAGTTCTTTAGTGCTGATCCAGGGCACAGCACAATCTCATCCACGGAATATTCAGGATTCAGTTTTGGATTTGGGGTTGGAATTGGATTCAAATCCCTTCCAAGCCATTTATATTCTGGATTCTTTCATTATTTTAAGGCTCTCTCAAAGTGAGTCTCTCTCCAACCTTTTTGCTTCCGGAGCAAACTGTGTAAAACTGTAAACTGTGGAAAATAAAATTTCCCAATGTTTTTGTGGAGCTTGAGGAGCTTGGTTATATTCCAGGTTTCTTCCCCAAAAAAACCCCAGTGTTCTCTATCCTGTGTCCAGAAAGTTTTGGTTGGGATCTTGGATTTACAGACATTTCCTCACTTAAACTTGGATTTATTGAACATTTCCCAATGTTCCCATCTCAGCTTCTTTTGGATTTAAGCTTTTCTTAATTCCTGGGATAAGTCTGGATGTTTCAAGTTTGGATAAAGTCCAAAGAGGTTCTGATAGCAGAGAATAAAATAAATATAAATAAAATATATAAATAAAATTCTCCACAAATTGGGAATTTGTTTTTTTATTGGGGATTTTCCTCATTGTGAGGGTGAGATTTTCATACCCCAGGCTGAGATCTTGAGTTTAGGTCAAGCCTTCATCCTAAGTAGAGACACCAGCTCATGCAGCACCTTTAGGGTGATCAACACCACGTTTTTGGGACGGCCTTTAGGATTTAATTCATACACCACAAATGAGACATCCACAATAAATCCCAAGTTTTAGGACTCAGGTTTTGCTAAGCCTGCCCTCAAGGCCAGAATTCCCTCTGGGAATGAGCGAGGAAGGAATCAGATGGCTGGGCCTGGATTCACGTGCACAACCTCATTAAGAATCAAATTCTGACCCTATCCCCACCCTGGAAGTGCCCAAAAAAAAGAGCAGACCCATGCTAAGGTGGTTGAGTGACCTTGGAGATCTTTCCCAACCCTCATGGAAATGCCAAATCAGCACTTCCAACCCTATTCCCACTTGGAAAAGAGGCCCAGAAGGTTCCTTACTTGCCATGGGGTTTCCCCAAGAGCCACCTGCCCTTATGGGTGGCCCCCGGAGCCTGCCCAAAAAGGAGCAGCCCCTTCATGATGTGGTTGAGTGACCTGAAGATGTTCAGGTTGACCTTGGAAGTCTTTCCCAACCTTCATGGAAACTCCAAGCACTTCCAACCTTATTCCCACTTGGAAAAGAGGCCTAAAATGTTCCTTCCCAGAGCCACTCACCCTCATAGGTGGCCACTCTGAGCCAGCCCAGAAAAGGAGATTCCCCTTCATAAGTGACCTGGAGAAGTTTGGGTTGACCTTGGAGATTTTTCCCAACCTTCACGGAAACTCCAAACCAGCATTTCCAACTTTATTCCCACTTGGAAAAGGGGCCCGGAAGGTTTCTTACTTGCCTTGGGGCTTCCCCCAGAGCCACTCGCCCTCGTAGGTGGCCACTCTGAGCCAGCCCAGAAAAGGAGATTCCCCTTCGGACAAGTTTGGGTTGACCTTGGAGATCTTTCCCAACCTTCACGGAAACTCCAAACCAGCACTTCCAACCTTATTCCCGCTTGGAAAGGGGCCCGCAAGGTTCCTTACTTGCCATGGGGCTTCCCCCAGAGCCACTCGCCCTCGTAGGTGGCCCCGCGGAGCCGTCCCTCCATGCGGAAGACATAGGTGAAGAAGCGGCGGGACGGGGCCTCGCTGCCTTCCCCGCTGCGGCCCCAGAGCGGAAAATCCCGCTTCCCGTTCAGCGCCTGGCGCACGGCCTGCTCCAGCTTCCACCGCCACACGGCCTGCGGACACGGAAAACAGGGAATGAGCACGCATCCCAGGAAAATCAACCGCAGACAACTTCAGGAAAGCAGCGAGGAACTTGTGGGTTCCCATCAAAGCCCATCTGGAGCTTCCACAAGGGTTCTCCTGGAAGTTAAATACTGCAGCAAGGCACAACAGCTGTGAGGGAGGAATTTCCACTTGGATGTTAAAAAAAAGAGGAAAATTCCACTTGGATATGAAAAAAAAGAAATACAAATTTCAAGTTGATTTGGTATGGGATAGGCCTGTCCTTCAGGAAAAGCAGCAGGAAACCGATGGGTTCCCACCAACATTCCTCACCAGCCATCAACTCTGAGCCACCTCTGGCCATCTAATCCAGGATTTTTTTGGAGAAGGAGCCAAAAATCCCAAGCCATCCTCACCAGAATGATTATCCTGTTTTAAATAATAAAGAGATGGGAAAATCCCAAAGCCTGACCTTCATCTGAGGGTCCTTGGTGGAGAGGACGAACGTCTCTTCCGGGGTTGTGATGCGTAGGCTGTGCCTGGGAGGGGAAAAAAAAAGGATGGAAAACACAATTCCTAATCCATCAGCTCTTCCCACTCCCCTCCTGGAGATCCTGGTGCTTTCCCAGGTGGTTTTTCTGCAGAGATCTCAAGTTCTCCAGGGCCGGATTAAACAATTTTGGGATTAATTGGCAATGAATGGGATGAGAGGGAACGGCCTCAGGTTGTGCCAGAGGAAGGTCAGGTTGGACATCAGCAGGAATTTTTTCATGGAAAACGTGGTCAGGCATTGGAATTGCCCAGGGAGGTTTGGAGTCCTCCATCCCTGGAGGTGTCTGAGGCATTCTGGGCTGGGAACAACGTGGGGATGGGACACAGGTTGGATTTGATGATCCTGGAGGGATTTTCCAACCTCGAAAATTCTGGGATTTCAATCTGAGCAAATTCCAAGCTGATGAGATCCCATTATCCATATCCCAATGCCACGGCTTGGAAAGGAGATGGGACAAAGCTTTGGATCGTTTTCCCATCGACCTGAACATTTTTAATCCTTTTTTATAACTCCCAGTGGGAATTTCTCACTCACAATCCTGGAGCCGATTTCTCTCCACAGTTTTCATCCACCCACACCAGCTTCAGATCAAAACTCTGGAAGCTATTTCCCTGGGAAAAAAATGGGAAAAGATGGTCCTGTGACTGCTGGAAACATCCATGGAATGGCAGAGCTGGAGTGGCAGCACAAATTCCCAACTTTTTGGTCCATCCATCCCACACTGGGAGGAGAGACCTTGGAGATAGAAAAGCCACCAGAAAAGGAGGGAAGTTCTCATTTGAACACTCCTAAAGCTCTTCCAAATTTCCATAGTCACATCCAGGAGTAAAACATTCCCACGTGACCCTGATCCCCACAGGAATTCCTTCCCTATCACATGGCAACATTCCCAAATCATTCCAGCCAATATTCCCAGAGATTTGTGGTTGCCCACCCCTGGAAGTATCCAAGGAAAGGTTGGACAAGGCTTGGAGCAACCTGGGATGGTGGGAACCATGGAATGGGGTGGGAATGGATCGTCTTTAAGCTCCCTTTCCATCCAATCCATTCTGGGATTTATTTAGGATTTGGACTCCAGGTGGCACCACCAGAAATACCCCCAAAATCCCAAATTTAAGGAGTCACTTTTGGGATCAGCAGCACCCAAACAAAATTCCAATGACTGGAATAAAAGGAAAACCTTAATTTCTCATCTCCTTTCCCTGCCTCAACTCCAGGTGCTCACACAGAGCTGCTGCCTGGTGGGATGGAGTTTTCCAAGGAATTCCACAGTGTTTTCCCAAATCTGGGAGAACAGAAAAGGGACATCAAAATTCCCAACCAGGTCAATCCCAATTCAGTTGAATTCCCAAACCTCCATAAAGCTCAGCAGCAGCAGGTGAGACACAGATGGAAATCATGGATTGAACACAGAGATAATTCCATGGATTTGCCGATCCCATGTTTCCAGCCCAGCCACCAGCACGATCCAAGCTGGAATCCCCTCATGGGAATACATCCCCACACCCCAAAATTCCCAAATTCGCCCCAAAACCAACTCCAACGTCTGCAGCCATGGCACAAACATGGAAAATCCTGATTATCCCAATGCATGGGAGCTCATGGAATGTCGTCCCTGATCCATCAGATCCCTGGCCAAAATTCCCTGTGGAAAAGGGTGTGGACCACTCAAAAGGTGCCTGTGATGATGGATAATCCACATTTCCTGGGAAAATGTTCTGTGGATCTCCTCTACTCCTTCCCTGATTTCCTTTATTTTCCAGAGCCAACCACACTCAGATGGATCTGAGACAAAGTTTTCCCAACTTTTCCCAAGAGCCAAACTCCGCTGCGTGTTCAACATCAAAGAACTGGAATTTTACCACCATTCCTATGGAAATTCCTGTCACTTCTGCCACTCCATGGGAATTTTAGGTCTATTTATCCATGCTCCCTTCCCTTCCAGGATCCTCCCTCTGGAGGATCCCGGACTCACCTGGATGAGCACCAGGACGTCGTCGAAGAGCAGGAGCCGCTCGGAGCGGGTGGTGCCGGAAGCGATGGGAAGGTTCCTGCTGTCCTCCAGGAGCCTCCTCTCGGGGACACACAGCACATCCTGGAGCAGCAGGAAAAACCAGGATTGGGGGAGGACATGGAATTCCAGGCAGGAATTCCTGCAGGGATCAGCTGGCTCGGGGTTCCAGTGACAGTGCCATGCTTGGGACACAAATTCATCTTCCACCCAACTCTGCTATGTCAACTTCAATCCTCAAATTCCCAATCCATACCAAATTCCCAATCCATACCAAATTCCTGATCCATACCAAATTCCCAGTCCATACCAAATTCCCAGTCCATACCAAATTCCCTCTGGCTCAGGGTTCCAGTGACAGTGACACACCTGGGACACAAACTCGGCTTTGAAACCTCCACTGAGTTCCTCCAGCTCTTCCACCCAGCTCTGCTCTACCGAATTCCAGCCTGAAATTCCCAATCCATACCAAATTCCTCATCCTTATCAAATTCCCGATCCATACCAAATTCCTGACCCATATCAAATCCCCCATCCACTTCCAATTCCTGATCCATATCAAATTCACAATAAATATCTAATTCCTCATCCTTAACAAATTCCGAATCCACTTCAAATTCCTCATCCACATCAAATTCCTGATCCATATCTAATTCCTGATCCCTAGCAAATTCTTCATCCTTATCAAATTCCCCATCCACACCAAATTCCCAATCCCTGTTCCTTTCCCTCGGGACTCACGGTGAATTTGTAGCCCAGGGATTTCCAGAGCTCCTTGGTGAAGGCAGCTTCATCCAGGACCTGGCCGATGAAGGATTCCAGCTTCCCGAATTCCTGTGCCACAGTGGCCACCACATCCCGCTCCGACCCCTGGGAAAGGACAGGAAAACTCCAGGAATGCTGAAAATTTGGGTCAAGGGAGGTCCAGGCTGAATTTTAGGGAATATTTATCCATTTAAATATTAAATCAAAATATTTATTTATTTTACATTTAGCAATGTCCAGGCAGGATATTCAGGATATTTGGGAATATTCAACAACGTGTCCCTCCTGGAATGAGGGACTTCCAGCCAGAATTTTAGGGAATATTTAGCAGAGAAGGTCCAGGTTGGATTTTAGGGAATATTTAGCATCCTGGATCAAAAATTTTAGGGAATATTTAGCATCCATCCTAGATCAAAAATGGTCCAAGCTGGATTTTTGGGAATATTTAGGAAAGGGGTTCCAGGCTGGATTTTAGGGAATATTTAGGAAAGGAGTTGCAGGTTGGACTTTTGGGAATATTCAGCAACGTGTCCATCCTGGACTAAACAAGTTCCAGGTTATATTTTCAGGAATATTTAGCAAAGGAGATCCAGATTGAATTGTAGGGAATACTTCTTCCCACAAAACCCATCCAGAAGATCCACCGAGCATTCCAGGGAATTCCCACCTCCTGGAGCTGCTCCTGGAGCTGCGAGAGGAGCTGCAGGTAGCCCTGGTTGTGCTCCCGGAAGGGTTTGTGGAGCACCAAGTGCAGGGCCAGGCCCAGGGAGCTCTCCGAGGTGAAATCCCGCAGGAATTCCTTCAGCACCGCCTTGTGCAGCTTCCAGGCCTCGCTGGAAAATTGGGAATGATGAGAAAGGGTCGTTAATTATCCTGGAATTCCCACTGTTCTGTTTTCCAAACTTTCCGTGTGGTGAGGATGGAGAAAGGCGTGAAAAATTCGGGAATGCACTCCTTAGAAATTCACATTTGCAGTTGTTGCTTCCATAAAAATCTGGGATTAGTGGGAATTCCCAGCCAGATTCCCACTCCTTCCCTAAATCCCCAAATCCTAAATTTCCAACTTTGGAAGGAGCTGGGGGCGGTTGGAAAGAGGGAATCCACCCATATATAACAGGAGCCATGGAAAAATTGGGAATGTGCTCCTTAGAAATCCACGTTTTCACTCCCTGCTTCCATAAAAGTCTGGGATTAGTGGGAATTTCCTGCGACATTCCCATCCCTTTCCTAAATCCCATATTCCAAGTTTCCAACTCCAGAAGGAGCTGAGGGTGGTTGGGAAGAGGAAAATCCAGTCCTGAAAGTGGACAGGGTTTGGAGCAACCTGGGGTAACAGAAGCCATGGAAAAATTTGGAATGTTCTCCTTAGAAATCCATGTTTTCATTCCCCGCTTCCAGAAAAATCTGGGATAAGTGGGAATTCCCAGCCAAACTCCTCTCTCCAAATCCACCTTTTCCCTAAGTCCCCAAATTTCAAATTTCCAACTCCGGAAGGAGCTGGGGGTGGTTGGGGAGAGGAAAATCCAATCCTGGAATTGTCCAAGGTTGGAAAGGGCTTGGAGCAACCATAGTGGGAGTTGGCCCAGGATGGGATGAGAGGATTTTTTTGGGAATTTTCCCAACCATTCTGGAATTCTGGGATTCTCTGGTGTCCCCGTATCCCTAGGATTCCCAAAATTCCCAAGGATTTTCCACCCGCTGACCTCTTGCTCTTGGCGGCCTGCTCGAAGCCCTGGACCACAACAAAGTTGGCGAAGGTGACGAAATACCTGGAAAAAATTCCAATAAGGAGTTTGAGAGGGAAATTCGAGATAAATTTATGGATCCCAACTTTTTGGGAAGTTCCCTTAATCCCATAAAAGCACCTCTGGAAAAATACAGGATTGGGATCAAAGGTTGGATCAGATCTTGGAATTCTTTCCCAATCTTAATTCCAGGACTTTTTGGCAGACTTGGATAAGTCGAAAGTGTTCATAATCCCGGGATCCATTTCCATCAGATTTTATGGAATGAAATTCCATAAATGAATTTTCTGCTCCGAGCTGTTCATTCACAGACTCTTCACCACAGAATTCCCAATAGAACTGGGAAAATTTGGGAATTCTGGGATGGAAATAATGGAGTTGTCATACTCCGGCTGAGCTTTATTTTTCCAAGTAAACTTGGAATTTTTTTTTTCTATCTCATATTTCCCAAGATTTTCTTCCAAGATCTGCATTTTCTGTATCAAACCCTGTGGAAAGGTGGAATTCCAAAGGGATTTTGTGGAATTTTGTGGTTGAGAAATTCTGGGAAATGGGAAATTCCAGGAATTTTTGGAGCCGTTTTCTTTAGAAGGAATGGATTAAATTATTTGGGAATGTAGAGAGAAGAAAATGGGAAGAATGGGGGAAAAAGGTGGAAATTCCAGGAATTTTTGGAGGCCATGGAGCCGTTTTTGCTGGAATGGAACAAACTCTATCCCAAACTCTTTGGACACTCATCCCACTGCCCCAGAGGTAAAATTCCCCCCCTTTTCCCAAGGAACCATTCCCAGTTTCCTTGGAGTCATCCCAAAAAGAACTCCTGGAAAAGCCCCACCCAGGAAAATCAGGGCCAGGAATTTCCCTGGGTTTGGAATTTCCCTGGATCAGGAACGCTGATCCCAGTGAAAACACAGATTGATCCCAAAAAACCATGGCCTCATTCCCTAATCCTGATTTTAGGGAAAACATTCCTGGAAAACATTTCCCCTTCCCAGAGGGAATTCCAGCTGGAAATCCCTTCCCAGATCAATTCCAGGTGGGAATTCCCGAGAAAAATTCCCAGAATTTACCTGCCTGGAGCAGAGGTTTGAGGATGAGGGCGTCGATCCGGGCCAGGCAGGAGGAGAAGTTTTCCTCCAGCTGGAGCAATGATCCCAAAATTTCTGAAATTCCAGCTGTGGACATGGCCTGGAAAACAGCAGGAATGAATCAAACCCCTGGAAATCCATCGGATCCCATCTCCAAGGTTTTTCCTTGGATTTCCAGCAAAGCTTCCCTTCCCTTGGTGCCATTCCCAGGTGGGGCTGATCCCAAAAATCCCCAGGAAAAATTGGGAGAGGAACAGAAACCAGAGACACCCCAGTTCAGTTTTCCTGAATTTTCTCAAATTCCCAATGATCTCAGAGCTGGAAAAGCCTGGAATGAATTCCTTGCAGTAATCCTGATGCATTCCAAAGGGGAAAATCCTGGAATTCCAAGGGATGAGGGAGAAACCTCTTCCCAACTCTCTCATTTCGATTCTCATCCCTCTTTTCCAAAATTCCCGATGACCCCAGGGTCACAAAATATTGGGAAAAGCCTGGAATTCATTCCTTCAGGAATTAATGGAATCCATCAGGATTATTTTTCTTTTCCCAAAGAAAATTCCCCCAGTTCCCAGAAAAACTTCCCCCAATTCCCAAAGAAAATTCCCCCAGTTGCCGGAAAGAAATCCCACAATTCCTGGAGGAATTTCCCACAATTCCCAGAGAAATTCCCCCCCAGCGCTTTCCTGCCCAAAGCCTTTCCCAAGGGAATTCCGGGTGCTTTGCATGAGGCTTTTCCAACACCTTTGGAATGTCAACATTCCCAAACAGGTCAGGCCTGTGGCTCAGCTAGGCTGGGATTAACTAGAGCTGGTTTTAGCAACCAAACCTAAGCCTGGGAGCTTCCTGAGGTTTATTTTGCTGCTATTCCCAAAAACCCAGCTCTGGAATCAGGAATCTGCAAATTCCCAAGTTTAGTCCCTGTTCTTCCCTGTTATTCCCGAATTTCTTTGGAAATCTGTATTTTTTTGGCACAAAATGCACTTGAAGCCAGATTTTCGGGATAATCCCACCCACATTCCCCAAAATTCCCATTTTCCTGCTCTTTGGGATTGAAGCCATTCCAGGGAGCAGCTGCACATTCCAAAGGCGTTTTTCCTAAACAGCCTCAGCTTTAGGCCAGGCCAACATAAACCCAATTTAAACCCAGTTTAAACCCAGCTCCAAATTAAACCCAAGTTTAAAACATGCCCCCAACTAAGCCAAAGTTTAAACTCAGTTTAAACCCAGCCCCAAACTAAACCAAAGTTTAAACTCAGTTTAAACCCAGCCCCAAACTAAACCAAAGTTTAAACTCAGTTTAAACCCAGCCCCAAACTAAACCAAAGTTTAAACTCAGTTTAAACCCAGCCCCAAACTAAACCAAAGTTTAAACTCAGTTTAAACCCAGCCCCAAACTAAACCAAAGTTTAAACTCAGTTTAAACCCAGCCCCAAACTAAACCAAAATTAAACCCCAGTTTAAACCCAGCCCCAAACTAAACCAAAGTTTAAACTCAGTTTAAACCCAGCCCCAAACTAAGCCAAAGTTTAAACTCAGTTTAAACCCAGCCCCAAACTAAACCACAGTTTAAACCCAGCTCCAAATGAAACGGAAGTTTAAACCACAGACTAAACCCAGCCCCAAAATACACCAAAGTTTAAACCCAGCCCCTTCCTTCTCTGCCTTTAATTCCTTATTATTTTTAAAAAGCCTCCAAAGCGCCGCTTTCCCCTCAAAACCGAGCCTTGGATCCCCACTTCCCATGGAATTCCAAAGCTCCTGGAAGGGTTTTTTTGGGATCACCTCCTCCCGAACCGAAACCTGCTAAACCGAGCTTATCAACCCGGCTTTAATTCTTGATCTCTTGGCACCGCCGCGGCTTCCCCAGCTTTGTTTCATCCGCCCTGGAATTCCAGGCGAGGCTGGAAAATCCCTCCCTGCAGGAGCAGGATCGGGGAGTCCCGCCTAGAAAAGCCGCGGTGGGAGCATGGACGGGGTTTAGACTGGGCTTTAATTTTCGCCGCCAGTGAAATTCCTGATAAAGAACTGAAATTCCTTAAGGAAAAGCGGGGTTTTGTGGGAAAATCCGGGAAAATCCGCTCCGGAATTTGGAACTTGATCCCGGCTCTACCTGGGGAGAACATTCCCAAATTTCCTCCGGACTAAATCGAACTGATCCCAAAACCAAGCAGGAAATCCCAAAACGTGCTGGATTCTGGAGCGACCCACCTGGAATGAGACAGCGCAGGAAAATTCCCGGCTGGGAAAATCTCCGGGAGGCGCAGAAATCCGGGAATTCTCGGTGTTCCCGAGGCTGGAACTTTTCCCTCCCATATTTCCCTCCCACATTTGGAGGCAGAGCCCCAAATCCCAAACACCCACGGGAGCCGGGATTACAAAACCCCAAATCTTGGCTCCCCAAAGTTCCTGCTCCTCCTATCCCCCTCCCCTCCCCCCCCCCCCCTTCTTTTTTTTTTTTTTTTTTTTTTTTTTTTTTTTTTTTTTTTTTTTTTTTTTTGTGCATGTGGAGCTGCGCAGATGCTCTTACACACACACACTCTCACTCAGGCGCTGCTGCTTCCCTTCCGCTCTGCGCTGCCCTCAGCTTTTAACCATTGCTGCTTTCTTCTGCTGTGTAAAAAACCCTTTACCGGCTTCCAGCCGTCCTTCCCACTTCCCTCCTTAACTGCTCTGCTCTGGCCCATTCTGTTTTCAGGATGGGTGGGGCGGTTTGGAAGTGGCTCATTTGCACACCTCCAGGCGGGATGTGGTGGGTTTCAGGTCTTCCCCCCCCCCCCCCCCCCCCCTTTTTTTTTTTTTTTTTTTTTATTTAAATAATCCCGGATTTTGTCAGGCCGGATTTTGTCATCCCGGATTTTGTCATCCCGGATTTCGGGGAAGTTGAACTTTCGGGAAGTTGAAATTTCGAGAAGTGAAAGGAAAAAAGGTCAGGAGGAGTTTGGGCAAGTTTCGCTTCCCAGCCTCGCTCTGTTCCCACAGTGCTCCTCCCAAAAAAACTTTGGGATTTTTTTTTTTCCTCCTCTTTCCAGGTTCGCTCCCATTTGCTGGGAATTCCAGGAATTCCTTGGAAAAGGAGATTTCTCCTGCCAATCACAGGCGGCGCTTCCCTTCCGCATTAAAACCCCAAAACCAACCCCAAACTTCCCGAATCCCTCGGTTAGGAGCTCCCAGAGTTCTCTGCTGCACCTCAGCCTTTAACTCTTTCCCTTCCTCCTAAAAAAAAAAATCCTAAATCCAACCTTAAAATTCCCAAATCCATACATCAGGAGGTGCCAGGTATCTCAGCCACCTTTAACCATTTCCCTTCTCCCTAAAAACCCCCGAACTTCCCCAATCCCTCGGTCCCAGAGTTCTCTGTGCAGCTCCGCCACCTTTAACTCTTTCCCTTCCTCCTAAAAATCCTAAATCCAACCCTAAAAATCCCAAATCCATCGGTCAGGAGATCCCAGACACCTCAGCCACCTTTAACTTTTTCTCCTCCTCCTAAAAACCCTAAACCCGACCCCAAAATTCCCAAATCCTTTTCTCAGCGGGTCCCGGAGTTCTTTGCTGCAGTAGAAATTATCTTCCGCCCTCCTAAAATTCCTAAATCCAACCCCAACATTCCCAAATCCATCGGTCAGGAGATCCCAGACACCTCAGCCACCTTTAACCACTTCCCCTCCTCCTTAAAACCCTAAATCCCGCCCCGAAATTCCTAAAACCTTTTCAGGAGATCCCAGACACTTCAGCCCCAGGGACCATTTCCCCGCCTCCTAAAAAAACCCTAAAATCAGCCCCAAACTCCCAAATCCTTCTCTCAGGAACTCCCAGGGCTCTCTGCTGCGCCTCAAGCTTTAACTCTTTCTCCTCCTTCTAAAAATCCTAAATCCAACCCCAAAATTCCCAAATCCTCTCAGGAGATCCGCCACCTCAGACACTTTTAACCATTTCCTCTCCTTCTGAAAACCCCAAAAACAACCCCAAACCCACAAATCCCTCGATCAGGCGGTCCCAGAGTTCTCTGCTGCACCTCAACCTTTAACTCTTTCCCCTCCTCCTAAATCCAACCCCAAAATTCCCAAATCCATCCCTCGGTGGATCCCAAAGTTCTCTGTTGCAGCCGCTTTTAACCATTTTCCCTCCTCCTTAAAACCCTAAACGCGACCCGAAAATTCCTAAAACTTTTTCAGGAGATCCCAGACACTTCAGGCCCAGGAACTCTCTCCATTCCTCCTAAAAAACCCTAAAAACAACCCCAAAATTCCCAAATCCTTCTCTCAGGAGCTCCCAGAGTTCTCTGCTGCACCTCAACCTTTAACTCTTTCTCCTCCTCCTAAAAAACCCTAAATCCAACCCCAAAGTTCCTAAAACCTTTTAAGGAGACCCCAGACACCTCAACCACCTTTAACTCTTTCTCTTCCTCCTAAAAAATCCTAAATCCAACCCTAAAATACCCAGATCCATTCCTCAGGAGATCCCAGGCACCTCAGCCCCAGGAACTCTTTCCGCTCCTCCTAAAAACCCTAAATCCAACCCCAAACCCACAAATCCATCCCGCAGGACATCCCAGAGTTCTCTGCTCCAGCTCAGCCACCGTTAACTCTTTCCTTTCCTCTTAAAAAACCCTAAATCCAGCCCTAAAAATCCCAAATCCATCCCTCAGGAGGTTCTGGAGTTCTCTGTGCACCTCAGCCACCTTTATCCATTTCCCTTCTTCCTAAAAATCCTAAATCCGACTCCAAAATTCCTAAAACTTTTTAAGGAGACCCCAGATACTTCAGCCACCTTTAACTCTTTCTCTTTTCCTAAAATCCTAAATCTGACTCCAAAATTCCCAAATCCATCCCTCAAGAGATCCCAAACTCCTCTGCGCACCTCAGCCGTCTTTAACCACTTCCTTTCCTCCTAAAAAAATCCTAATACAACCCTAAAATTCCTAAAACATTTTCAGGAGTTCCCAGACACCTCAACCCCCGGAACTTGTTCTGCTTGTCCTAAAAAAACCCTAAAAACAACTCCAAAATTCCCAAATCCTTCTCTTAGGAGCTCCCAGAGTTCTCTGCTGCACCTCAACCTTTAACTCTTTACTTTCTCCTAAAAAACCCTAAATCCAAC